CGCGGGGAGCTCGGCGCCCCCTGGCGGCGCGGCGGGGAACTGCGGGCGAGGGGAGGTGGATGTGGGGGGTCGGTGGGGAAACTGAGGCACGGTGTGTGTGTAGCAGGGCATGCACGCATCTTGGTGGGGACACTGAGGCACGCTGTGTGCAGGGGGGTATGCATGGCCCTGGGAGGAGGTGGGGGAGAGGCGTGCTGTATGTGGGGAAGGGTATGCATGGCCCTTGGTGACTGTCCTAAGCTCCAGGCCCCAGTGACCCCTCCCGGCAGCCCCCCGTCCACGTGGGCCTCCCCTCTGGACTGGCAGGGGGATCCGGCCCTGCTGGACGGCCCCGGGGGCAGGTGCCGGGCTGGGCTGCACCCCGGGCCCAGGAGGTTTCACCGTCGTCTGCTTCCTCCCTCCGTCACCCTGCGCGGATCGGGCTCTGGGGACAGACACGCTCGAACTCCGTAAAATCACAGAATCAGAAATCGAGCCCCTGAAACATTTTCCTTGCCCTCCGCTGGAGTCTCTCCAATTGTCCACATCCTAGCTGCAGTGGGGGCCCACAGCTGGACACAGGACTCCAGATGTGGCCTCACCACTGCAGAACAGAGGGGAGGAATCACTGCCCTCCATCTGCTGGCAACGCTGCTACTAAGCAGCCCACTGCCCCTTCCTGAACCGTGTGTCACATGCCCCGTACTGCTGGCAGCGCAGGGGGAGTTTCCCCCCACTCCCCTCCCGCACCGACGGGGGGTTTCTCCACTGCCCCTGATCAGAGACTCGGGCGTGGGGAGCCCATCCACAGCCTGCCCGAGCGCCGCAGCGGTGCCTGGTTCCCTCCATGCAAAGGCAGGCAGCCAGTGCTCGGTAGCCTCGTTGCTCCCCCGCATTCACACATGCTGTTGGTGTGTCCCCGCAGAGGCACAGTCACAGGAGTCTCACCGACCCCTGGTTGGAAGCGGTTTGGGCTTGGCCTGTACAGCTCTGGGGCGTCTGGCACTTTGGATAGGCATCCCAGTTCCCTCCTGGGTCATCTCTAACAATGGCCACATTTTTATTTGCGGGCTGCCAGTGTTTCATCCCATGGCTGTGCTGCAGGGGAAGCTTTTGGCCTACTAGCATGAGCCCCCTCCCCTCTCAATCCTCGCAACTCTGCTCCGTAAGTAACGCAGGGGAAACTGTGAGGCTGTGACTTGCCAGGAGCCTGTGCTGGAAAAAGGGCTAGCTTCTGGGTACCCAGGGGCTGATTATCCCTAAGGGCTGCCAGCTGGAGAGCTCATGCCCACCCACCACCCCTTCCCCAGGCTCAACCGGGTTGCAAAGCAGCTGTAAAATGCTGCAGCCAGGCCTGAGGGAAGCTGAGGAGGGGATTAAACAGAGCATTGATTTCTCTGTTTTCACATCACCAGTTCCCAAATGTAAGTAGTGGTGGGAAGGGGGTTGATCTCCTGGCTGTTTGGGAGTATCTGTGCTGGAGATGCAGCTGTGTTGTGCTTGCCGTGGGGTTAAAGCAGGATTTTGGTCTTGTTAAGATAGAAATAGATATTTCTGTGTATGTGTACATATCTATCTATCTCGTTCCTGACCCACAGCCCCCTGGCGCTGCCTCCAATTCCCCTTCACCTGCTCCTCCCAGCCCCAAACAACTCCTTGCTGGGGCAAGCTGGGAAATGCCCAGGGCAAAAAAAAACTTTGATGCTGAGTATAAGAAAATATCTGGGATTTTGCTTTATTTTTAAAAAACTGCCTGGATAGAGGACCCAAAACAAAGACATGTCTGGGAAAACCCGGACATATGGTAACCCTAAGCAACATTTCTGCTTTTTAAAGAGGAAAACTGAAATGGGCTGGCAGGGGTGGGGGGCAGACATCGGGATCTTTGTGCCTGCCATGTGCCTGGCTCCTGTACTGGAGGTCGCCTGCAGCTGCCTTGCAAGCCTGAGTTGCTGGCAGCGCCATGCAACGCCTGCGCCTGTGGTATGTGGGCCTGACTCGGCAGAAGCCAGGCCAGGACTACAGCTCCCAGGCTGCTCCGGGCGCCCAGGAGCCATCAGCTGATGGGGAAGCAGAGCTCAGAGCTGTCTGCCTTCCTCTCCTCCCTGCTGCAGGGCCAAGAGCCGTGCGGTGGTGACCATGCTGCGCCCCAAAGCCCTCACCCAGGTGCTGAGCCAGGCCAACACCGGGGGGGTCCAGAGCACCCTGTGAGTATGGGGGAGCGGGAGGGCGGCTGGATGAAAGGGGTCCCCAAAGCCTGGGGCATAGTTCAGTACCTCTGAGCCTCCTTCCTCTGTATGTCTCCTAATTCGGGATAGAAACAGGCACCACTGGGTTTCCATCCCCCACCAGGAGCCAAATAATTCAGCCTAGCGTGCCCTAAAAAGTAGTAATCTAGCCTAGCCCCTAAATCCTGTCTTCTCCTTGCCCAGGGGGCTGGTGCACTAGCTTGCAGGACTAGGTGCATTTATATGCCTGTGCATGGTTTGCTGAAGTGCAACCAGGCTCGTTCCAGCTCTGCCCGTTCCTGTATGCGTTGATGTGAGGCGACTGCTGAGGGCACAGGCAGACAAGGCTCTTTAGGTAGATGTGATTGATTTTTATTATTATTATTTGACCAGTTAAATACTTGGAAAAATATTGTTCTTTGCAAGCTTTTGGGTATAAACAGCCTTCTTCAGAAGTTTGCAATGAACAATTTTTCCAACTATTTAGTTGGCCAAATAAAAGATAACACATTTACCCAGAGAACCTTGTCTGCCTAGGTCCTTAGACCAACACGGCTACAACCAGCAGCCTTAAAGCTAAGAGCATGGGAATCCCTCCCCCCCAGTTGCACTCCTGGCAAAACGATCCCAGAGCCAAAGCTGCTCTGGCTTCCTTGTGTTTCAAGGTTGCTACAACAGGCAGGAGGAAAACATGCCATCAGGGGCACGGGTCCTGGAGCTGGTGAGGTTGCCTGGAGCTGGGTAGATGCTGATCATCTTTATGGCTAAGAGCAAGCGAGACTTGGGGCATCTGTTCTCAGTGGGGGCAGATGACAAAACGAGGAGAAATGGGCTCAAGTTGCAGCAGGGGAAGGTTAGGTTGGATGTTAGGAAAAATTTTCTCGCTAAGAGGGTGATGAAGCACTGGAACAGGTTACCAAGAGAGGCTGTTGATTCTCCATCCTTGGTTTTTAAGCCCGGCTGGACAAAGCCTCAGCTGGGATGATGTAGTTGGGGCTAATCCTGCTTTCAGCAGGGGCTTGGACTAGATGTGACCTCCTGGGGTCCCTTCCCACCCTCTTTTTTAATAATCTAAACCCCAAGGCTTCTGGGCCTGGGGCATATATATAGGATGCCTGCCTGGATCTGGGGAGCTTCTGAAGCCCCAGACGGATGGGTCCAGGAAGGAGGACACTTGCCCAGTGGTAGAGCCACACAGACTTGACAATTGAGTTTTGCTCAGTTGAATCTTGGTACTTGATTATTGGGCTTTCACGACTGACTTTGGAATGGATTCAGCCTTGAGTAATAATAAGACAGTGATCTTCTTTCCCACTTGGGGTGATGCACTTACAGCTGAAAGTATAACCTGCCTGGGTGGTATTGTGTTAAAGGGAGGGGAGGATGCTGGTTACTTCCCTCTTGGGGTGGAGGGGTCACCCTAAAACACTTGTGATACTTGTGACTTTGGAGAGGCTGCGTAGGACCCTGGGGGCTGTGCATATGGGGGTTCAAGTCTGTCTCCTCCCTGCATCTCCTTTCCAGGCTTCTGAACAATGAGGGCTCGCTGCTGGCATATTCTGGTTATGGAGACACAGACGCCAGGGTCACAGCTGCCATCGCCAGCAACATCTGGGTGGCCTATGACAAGAATGGGCACCAGGCTTTCAACGAGGACAATCTGAAGTTCATCCTCATGGACTGCATGGTACCTGGGTTGCGGGGGGTGTCGGTGGGCTCCTGGCAGGAAGGTGGGATAAACCCAGATAGCTTGAACATGAGATCTTTGGCACCCAATGGGTGGCTTCTTCCTGCCTTGGTTTTTCCCATCTGTAAAATGGGTCTGGGATGTGCCTTGCTGTGGGGACCAGTGAGCTTTATTTGAGTGTTTTGAGATCTTCCTGATGGAAATGCTAATTGTTGGGAAGTAGAACTTCAAAATGGGGCAGCACTTCTCACCCGCCACTTAAAGTAAAGAGTGTGGGTGTGTAAACATCAGCTAAAGCAAGGCCCAGGCTTACAAGTGTGACCTGACTTTGGCATAGCGTAAAGGACTCTGCGTACAGGGCAGTAGCAGCATCAAGCACTCTTCATCCGTAGACCTCAAAGCACTTGACAGGCCAGCCTCAGTCTTGCAGATTGAAGGGAAACTGAGGCACAAAAAGTGGAAGGGCCTGGTTGGGCTGCTTCGCAGGCCCTTCTCAAAGCAGGAGTAAAATCTGAGTCGGGGGCCCTTAACCCCTCTGCCACACTATCTTCCCAACAACTCCTCGGTATCTTGATGTGGGAGAGCAGGGCCTCGACATGCTGCAAGCCAGACCCCTAGAAGCAGGCTTGGGACAGACCTCTGCAAACGTGGGCTTCAGTGCTCTGTTCCCCTCCCCGCTTTCTTTCACCGTGCAGGAGGGCCGCGTTGCCATCACCCGGGTGGCA